AAAGTGTAACAAATTAGACATTAACAAAACGTTTATGTTACCCACTACCCAGTACGTTCTGCTTCAGGGAAACAATGAGAACACCAGGAGGTGAATGAGAGAGGGATGAAGCAAAGCCTGCGGGATGTGGCTGTACCTGTACTCAGAAAGTTATAACTTTTGAGAAGCTAGAAAATGAATATAACTCAGCAATAGACACAATTAAGAAAAAAAAGTCACTGCAATTTTTAAATACAGAAGTAAGTCTTATTAACTTTGAAGCCTTTTCTTTAAAAGGATAATATAAACACTTACAGATTTCATAGAAAAGGAATGTAAAAACACACATAAAGGCATTCAAAAATAAGGCTGAACACTTTACATCTTTGATGCCAATAAATTTCAAATTTTTTGATGAACTTCAGTTCCTAAAAAGGAAAAATTAAGTTTACAGAATTGACTAAATGTTTAGCAAAAGATAGATTTTATAGGGAATCCACTTAAGTGGTTTTTTTAAACTCTAATATTATCAGCTGTAAAGATTTACCAAACCATAAGTAGAAAATATTTATGACACAAATTTCCAACTTTGAAAAGATGCAGATTTTATCAGCTCCTTTTCTGAGTCTTACAAAATCTCACTCTATGAACAACCCAAGATTTGCAGACGTCCTCCCAAATTACAAAGAAGTGTTGCACACTTACAAGAGCCAGGCACTTGTCTACATGTTAATTCTGAATTTAAACTTAAAAAATCATAAATACGAGCAAATTAATCCATTTAAGTTTTTTGCTTTTTAAGATGGAAGTATTTTTAGACCAGTAGTATAATCATTAGTATTTTTTAAACTAGGGTTTTTTTCAGGAATCTAGAAAAATGTATCTGTCTCCAAGGTTTATTATTCTTCCAGTCTATGCAGCTTAACTGAAAAATGAAAATATTTTAAAATCACTTGATCCTTGCATTGAAGAATGGTATGATGATGACGTATGTAGAATCAGAATGGGATACTTAAAAATAATTATTAACCACAAAAAATAAGAACAACTTGGAATCACCTGAACATATGCATAAGGTGGGATTTAAATGGTTCCACTTCTTTTTAAAGAAAATGTGGAATGCCTTCTTTTACTTAGCTTGCATTTAAATGGAAATTTTAAAAAATAAGCAGAAAGCTGTATTTCTCAATTTTTACATAACTTATTTACACATGTTTATAAAGGCTGTCCTTGTAAAGGGACTGAACAAAACTTCAGCTAAACAAGTTTAAGTTTTGTCTCAGGAAGACCAGTCCCAGTTACACCTTCCTCTGCATCAAATGGCATTACTGTTGAGGTTTCCTTCAGTCAGGCACACAAGGGACAATCTCAGGGTGTCAGTGTTTTGTTTTTAAAATTTGTGTTTAAGTATCTCTGAAATCTTTAAGCATAAGGCTTGAAAGAATTGCTTGCATTCCTGAAATATATTATTTTGTTTTTGTTTTGCAGAAAATTTCAACATTTCTTGAGATACATGCTTGTTAAATTCTTCACTTAGACTGTGACAGCATCAATATCATTTTTTTTTCTTTTTGCTTTGTTCTTCCAACTATATTCCACAGAAATTTCTAAACAGGGAAAAAGCAATATTCGCTACTTCTAACATTTTTTAGGTCTTAGGATAAAGAAATAACTGAATCAGAAGATCAGAATGAAGTCATTACAGCAGTCACTACTCTGTTTCAGTCACTCTTGATCCATAACACTGTTCTTCCTGACTGTATTGCAGCAGTATTAAAGAACAGTGTTTTGTAAAAATGCAGAGCGTTAAACAAGACCAAATGCAAAAACAGGGATGTGCTGGTGAGAAATAGGATCAGAAATTTAAAAGAACCTTACCATAGACAGGAAAGACACACCTACAGTTTCTGAGACGGCAGGTGTTTATAAAAGCTGGTATGAACGATGGGTGGTGACAGCAGATGAGTAACGCCCCTACAGGAACTTCTCCTGCTACTCTTCAGATCCCAGGATTTCTCCTTAACTATTACATCTTCTCAAGTATCACAAGAAGATATGCACAAGAATATTCATAGTTTTATTTCTAACAGCCAAGAAATCCAGAAATATTACAAATGGAAAAGACCAGAGGCCCAAAACGGTGTCACTGAGGTAAAGCCCATGATACCAAACTTAGATTTAGTATCTAACCTAATTACAGCTTCTGCCCTTTCCAGGAAGGTAATCTTCAACAACCAGTTTGGAATTCTCTGGCCATCATCAATGAGGTAATCACGCGGCCTCTCCACGCACCCCCTCCTTCACCCCAAGAAGAGACACTCTGCTTGATAAAACCCTCGCATTCCCTTCCCCACCAAAAGACGTCCTGACCCAAAACAACCCTTTGTTTTCTTCTTTCTTTCTTTCCTTTCTTTTTTGGCTAATGACTTCTTTGCTCCACCCTCCTTTCTATAAAAGCATTCCGTTTTATACCACTCCTCAGAGGGCCCACCTAGTTGCTAGATGGGCTGCAGCCCGATTCATGAATTGTTCAATAAAGCCAATTAAAACTTCCTAGGTTGAATTCTGTTTTATAACAGAAGAGACTGGATGTTTCCAAGACTTAAGAAACATGATGCTGCAATAAACAGAAATAAAACAAATACTTACCTGTGACGGGACTAACGCCCACTTGGCTGGGTCCCTCTCAGAGGGAGCACAGAGTCCTGGGAATGCACAGCTGAGGAGGAAACAAACATAAAGAAACCAGAATTTCGAACCCACTGCCACCCATTTTTCAACCATGTCCAGAACAAACTCCAAGAAAGCTCACTGTCAATATGCAACATTTTTTAGTGTACACTGCTGGTTGCCGAGCACGGTAACCGGGCCTTTTTCAATGCCGCAGTCGCCTATTCGGGGATGGAATTAGTAACACTTAATGCAAACTGACAACATTGTAAACTGACTATACTTCGGCTTAAAAATAACCCTTAATTAAACTACAAAAAAAAGGACAAATAACGATAGTCACTGTTACAATACTCGCCGAGCGCAGACACGCAGAGAGACACACACACACGAGTTCCTTCCATGAACAACAACATACCGGTCCCGCCCGCACTACTTCACGCTCGCCCACTCGCGGCGGCCTTCCAATCCACAGAGCTGCACGCCGGTTCCGACCAGCGCCGAGCTCCTGGGAAATCCCTCCCCGCAGCGGTTCCAAGCCGCGGCCACCCCGCCCCATGCGACCAAACCTCAGCCCGCGCCGCCGACTCACGAAGCGAAGGGAAAACGACCCAGGAACCGCAGAGCGTCCAAACACGCGAAGAAGGTACCTCACCTGCCAGCCCGACCGGAAGTTCCTGCCGCGGTGGCTCCTGGGAGTCGCGGAAGTGTCCGTGTGCGCATGTGCAGCCTCACCGCCTTTATTACGGAGACCTGAATGTCTTGGCATCCTGGCCAGCCAGGAGCCTGGACTTTGGTAGCCAGGGGCAGGTGCAGGACTCGGAGTGTCTGGGTTTGACAGCGAGCTCTGCTGCCCTAAACCGAAAGGCTGTGGCCTCTTCTCCTGGTGTCTTGGGTCTGGGATGGAGCAGGGAGCTGCGTGGGGAATAGAACGCGCATGCGCTGGCGCCCGTGGAGGCGGGGCTTCAGCGCACTAGGTCTCTAGGGATCCTAGAAGGCACCCGAGAGTAACGGATACGCATGCACACAATGGCCCCTAGGGGCGTGGCTTTGTGTCCTTGGGAGGCGGAGGTGGGAAGGCTGCGCAGGCGCATGGAGCACATCGCCGCCGCTTTCTGGAGGCACAGAAGCAGTTCGGTTTACGGGGAAAGGTTTCCCGGGTGGTGTATGGGGAGGGGCGCTCCGAGAGTCCCGGGTTGGGGTAGGGGTGGGCCGTCAGCGCCGGTACGCCTGGTGGCTTGTTCCCCTGCATGGTTGTTTCTTTGTGTGGTTGTGGGGTTTGCTTCAGGCATCTCTGGGTGTTTTGTTGATGGCTCTTCTGCGCTCTGCTCATCATTTGATTTTTCAGAACTTGGGTTTGCTCACGGTGTTACTAAACCAGGTTGGTTTGCCTGATGCGAAGTGCTGGCCAAGGCTGAAATTCAGTAGGACCCTACAATGCAAAAGGCCCCTGTGTTTTTCACTTCTTGTTTATAGGAAAAAAGGCTTTAGTCCTCTAGGCCTCTTCCCCAAGGAGCAGGCACAAGTAATTAGTAGCTAGAGAAGTGACGGAATGCAGAAACAAAAAGCAGTCAAGCAAGAAAAATAATGAGAAAATTCTAAGTAAAAGATGTGATTAAGTTGGACGCAGTGAAAGATGAATAGGAATGAATGTAAATTCTACTCTAAATTTGGAAAATATTCTACTTAAAAGTGAATGTTTTGTGGTGATGGTTGCATAGCTATATGAATATAATAGAAATAAGTGAACCATAAACTTATAATGGGAAAATTTTATGGAGTGCAAGTTGTACCACAATAAAATTGCTTTTTAAAAAAGGAAAAAATAAAAATTAAAAAAGTAGTGAAAGCTTAACCAATAGTTCAGTGACCAAATCGAGTTTTAGTTCCTCCTTAAAGGATATACATAATAATCTGGCGCATATTTTTTCTTTTGGAAGGGGCACCGAGATATAAGGGTGCATACCTTTAAGTTCGTCTGCAGAAATCAACACCCTCCCCACCTGGTGAAGGATGGTGACTACGTTGTGACCACTAGCGCATAGGCCCCAGATTGGTTGGAACCAGAAGATTGATGATGTTGACTCCCAAAATACCACCCAGTTACCGCACCACCAACCAACCAGAAGGAAGTCCACAAGCTGATCAAGCACCATGTAACTCTTATCCCTAATGTCGCCTTTATTTTATTTATTAATTTTTTAATTAAGTACAGTCTGTTTACAACGTTGTGTCAATTTCTGATGTACAGCATCATGTTTCAGACATCCGTATAAATACATGTTTTTGTTTTCATATTCTTTCTCATTATAGGTTACTACAAGATACTGAATATAGTTCCATGTGCTATTCAGCAGAAATTTGTTGTATATCTATTTTATATACAGTAGTTAGTATCTGCAAATCTTGAACCCCCAGTTTATCCTTTCCCACCCTTTCCACCCCTGGGGAAATTTGAGCAGATTTGAGGTTTTTTTTTTTTATAGTTCCTTTCTTCTCCTCAGCTCTGCATTCACAGGACTCTTGTTCTTTAAGAGAGGGACCCTATAAAGGGGACCATGACCACTGGACTTCTGAAAAGCACATCACAAGTGAGTTGTGGTTTCTTTTTTGTTTTCCTGCAGTGAGACCCCAAAGAATAAAGGTTAACCCTAACCCTAAAGAATAAAGTCATCTAATAACACAGAGATACTCATGAAGACTGCAAAATATCAAGTGCCCCGAGCTTTAATCCCATGTCCTAGGACAAATTTTAAAAAGAAGTGAGTTTTTTTTTTCCTTTTTCCTTACTGTTTGGAGAACAGCTTCCTTTTCACACACACAAATGAATTTAAACAAATATATTTTCCAATATTCTAGGAAATTACAAAATGCACTTACAAAAAGAGAAAGCCATAATCCCACAACCAGTCTTTTTTTTAAAAATAGTTTTCATGTTTCATTGTACTTACATTTAAATTTCACCATGAAATACTGAGCGTTAAGTATATGCTGGCCTTATATTCAGATTTTTTTGAAATGCAAAGATAAATGGACAGATGGCTTTAAAGATGTGATGTATTAGACTCTGTAGAACATATCAAACAATTAGAGAATCTAGAGTCTAGGGGGTGGTAAAATTCTGTCTATGTACATTTACACGTTTAGTGGCCCAAGTAAACTCGAAAGAGACAGGAAGGCGTATGTGAAGCTTTGGGTTGCAGTTGGGGGAAAAACCCATTCAGGACGGAACTGAGGTCCTAGGCTGCTGACCGTCTCCCCTTGACTTCGGACTTTAGACAAAATAAGGAGTATTTATCAGTGTACAGAAACCACTGAACTGAGGGGGGAGGGTGTAGCTCAGTGGTAGAGCACGTGCTTAGCTTGCACGAGCTCCTGGGTCCAATCCCCAGTACCTCCCATAAAAATAAAATAAACAAATAAACCTAATTACCTACACCCCCCCAAAAAACCCACTGAATTATACAAAATCCCTATTTGTCAAGAAAACTGCAGCAACAGGATAGGTTAAAGCCTAGTTGGCTCAGACCAACTAGGGTTGTGGGGGCCGCAGTCTGAAGTGAGCAGGGCTGGCTGGAGGCTGGGAGTCCAGCTGGATGTGACAGCTCACATCCAGGACCTGTAGACTGGAACAAGCTGGAAACTCAGTCCAGTGGCGGAATGGTTCCTGCTTTCCTCAAAAATCCTTGTTTTCCAAACATGTTCCTGGGATGCTTCCCTCAAGCCGGGCCCACAGCCCATGTTAACAATCTCGTTGATAATGTGGGATACGTATTTCTCCTCCAGAGAGCTGGTTTTCACTGTCTGTGCGTGTGTATGTGTACTGGAGTCGGGGGAGCAACCGGTTCCTACAGCGTACACCACAAAGCCTGTGCGGTACCTAATTTTTTTCAGCCAAGACTTCGCACTTCTCTCCAGGGCCTCATGAGTAAGAAAGTGTTTGCCGTTTCAGCAGTCAGTGACATTCACAAGATGTGGCCATCGACGTCTTCCATGAAGAGTGGGGATTCATTAACCCAGCTCAGAGAGAATTGCACATGGCCATGATGTTGGAGACCTACCAGAACTTGGTCTGACTGGGTAAGTGCATCCAGCCCTCAATTCAGCACCTGTTTTCTGCTGTGTGTTCCTCCTCCTACTGGAAATCTCTGGGGAACTATGATGACCTTTGCTTTATGTTTTTGTTCTGTGTCCCATGACGAGCACAGTTAGAAATGGACAACTTTCAGGGGGAGGGTATAGCTCAGTGGTAGAGCATGTGCTTAGCATGCATGAGGTCCTGAATTTGATCCCCAGTGCTTCCATTAAAATAATAATAATTATAATTAATAATAATAAATGAATGAATGGATAAATGAATAAATAAACCTAACTGCCTCTCCCCTGGAAAAAAAAAAGAAAAGAGAAATGAACAACTTCCTCTTTCCCATCCTTCAGAAAACCTTTACATTTAATCTGGCCATTCTTACAAGGGCTTCTAACCTGATTCCTGTGGTTAGTGGGCTGAATTCTTGGGTAATGATGGCATGGCCATTTCTTTCTCTTTCCACAGGCATTTCCATTTCTGAGCCCTACACAGCCTTCCTGTCGGAGCAAGGGACACAGCGCAGAGTGGCGCAGAGGCAAGACCTCCACCGGCAGGTGAGTCAGGAACCAAGCAGAGGGAAGGCTGTATGTTCAAAAAGCCAGCTGCTCCCTGAGGTGACAGCAGTTTTAAGGTGTTTGGACATCTCCCCTCAGAGGGCCTTTGGTTTGAGCTTCGCAGTGGGTCCATCATCCTCATTGGTCACCCTACTCTCATCCCTTTTTAAATGATTACCGCCAGCCTCCAGATGTGTGTCCTGCCCCCTCGTTTGCAATCAGCTCCCCACCTCTGCTCCCTCGATTGTGTTTCACCAGCTCATCTTCCTCCCTTCCCTTCTTAAGGCTGTTTCCTTGAAAACATTCCTCAACACCTCTGTTGTTTTCATCTATCCAAAAAGTTCCCATTCTGTCCTCCGATTAATTAAGTGTATCTACCCCACAGCTGTTCCATTAACAAACACATTCCATCTTTAATTCTGGCCAAGAATGAGGGTTTTCTAAAAGAACTGAACCCATCAAGGTGTTTACTGTTTAACAAGAGAAATTAAGAGATGCTCTTAGTGGGGAGGGTGTAGCTCAGTGGTGCAGCGTGTGCTTAGGATGCACAGTCATTGGTACCTCCATTCAAATTTTTTAAAAATTAAAGGAAAAAAAGAGAGAGAGAGACCTTCTTAGACACCCTTGGCAAAGTAGGAGCCAAGCTTGGAGAACTTCAAACAGAGTGACCACTGCCCAGGCCTGGGCGTGGCCAGGGGTCAGCACATCAGCGGTGGACGGTGCAGGGGTTTGGCCACTCGGGTGTGTGGCTTACCTGTGCTGCTGGACCTGCTCAAGCCCAGTCCTGGGCACACCTCTCATGTCTCATGGAAGATTGCCACCGGGCCCACCCCACCTGAGAGCTGGTGGTTTGAATGGTACCCAGCTCACGTGGGCGGTTTGGGCCACGTGAGCACTTGCTGTCTGAGTTTGCTTGAGCTGCTGTGACAAACGTACCATAGACCAGGTGGCTCAAACAATGAACGTTTATTTCTCACAGTTCCGAAGGCCAGGAATTGCAAGATCAAGGCACCAGTAGATTCAGTATCTGGAGAGAGCGCCCGCTTCCCGGTTCACAGACAACTTTCTCCTCGCTGTGTCCTCATGTGGAAGGGGTTCCCTTTTATGACAGCACTAATCCCATTCATGAGAGATCTACCATCATGGCCTAATCACCCCCAAAGCCCCCGCCTCCAAATACCGTGCCTCTGGGGGTTAGGATTTCAACATGTGAATGTGGGGGACACAGACGTTCAGTCCATGACAATGCCCCTCGGGTGGAGGGTCGCTCCTGGTACTGGGGATCATGCCAAGAGCTGTCGTTTAAATGGTGTGAAGGTCTCTGCTGCAGGCGGCGTTAATCTGGGGGTCTGTGCTGCGACTCTCCCATTGCTGTCCCACGTGGCGTCTTTTCCCACCACGGATACCTCTAGTCTCATGGCATCTGCCCAGTGCTGGTCCAGGCATCAAGGCTGCTTCTAATACAGCCGGAACCTTGTTCTGGGTCTCACTCAAAACCAGTACTTTCCACCTAACCCAGTAAGTGGACCCAAGCAGTATTCCACATCCTCTCAAGCACAGTGCTGCTTTCTCGGTAACAGGAGGTACATGATGCAAAAATTTATCCTTTACCTTGGCAGGGCTGGCCCAGCATCCCCTGGACCTCGGCACCCCTGAAAGCCTCCCTACCTGCCAGGTCCCTGAATCTCCCTCCACCTGGAGCGCACGTGACCTACCAGGTCACCTCCGAGTGTGGTCTCATGAACAGAGTATCATCAATACAGTGGGCCAGTGTGATGCTCGACTGAGCCATCAGGGTCTTCAGCTTATGCTGTGATACAGAGCAGGACAGTTAACTTCAGTGCAGGGCCCAGACCCTCGTGTCACTCAGCTTGGGCTGCCCCCAGCTCAGTTCCACAGATTCAGTGGTGTAAATGCAGAAGTGTATTTCCTCACAATTCTGCAGACTCTGCGGTCTGAGATCAAGGAGTCAGCAGGGTTGGCTCCTTTAGAGGCCTCTCCGTGGCTTGTAGACAGCCAGCTTTTCCCTGTGTCCTCACACGCACAGTCTTCCCTCTGCACGCGTCTGTCTGTGTTCTCCTGTCTTCCTATAAAGCCACCGTCATACTGGATTAGGACCCACCCTAATGACCTGATTTTTCCTCTTTAAAGGCCCTGTCTCCAAGAATCTGCCCATCCACTCTGTGAAATTTTGTATCACTCATTATCCAGATTAATTGGATAGGTACTTGTGTCATTTTATTTCAGTATTTTTTAAAAATGTTTATTTAATCCATAAACTTTGGGGGGGGTCAATTAGGTTTTTATTTGTTTTAATGGAAGTACTGGGAATTGAACCCAGGACCTTGTGCATGCTAAGCACACGCTCTACCACTGAGCTACACCTCCCTCCTGAATGTTTCATTATTGAAAAAATGGATTGAGTGGATGGTGGCTAGTGAGTGTATGATAATGTTAAAATATTAAATAATATTAAAAATTTTCTAAACCTATAAAACCAGGGTAGGTTTGTTTGATCAAGTATTCAGTGTTCGTTTGATCAAGTATTCAGTCTTCGTTTGATCAAGTATCCAGTGACATGCTGTAAAAAGAAAAAAGCAATAACCTCCTTGTGTCTTGTGTGTGTTTTCATTCTTACTTCCCTCAAGGACTCACAGTCACAGTGCAGTGGGAGTATGGTTCACATCTTTACCCATGCTCACACACACCCCACAGACACATACCCAGGGAGCGTTTTCTTATTTTCTTTCTCTCTCTCTCTCTCTTTTTTTTTTGTGGGGGGAGGTATTTAGGTTTATTTATTTTTATTTTATTTATTTTTTTAATGGAGTTACGGGGAATTGGACCCAGGACCTCATGCATGCTAAGCACGCACTCTACCACTGAGTGAACCCTTCCTGGGTTATTTTCTTGTTCTTAAAAAATAGCTACCTTTCTTCACTTGTTAAAACTTTATCTCAGTCAGCTTCACCTCTTCAGGTCTGTATAGCTAAAACTCATTATTTCTAATAGTTCCACAAATAAACCAGACTGTTGGACATAGTGACATCAGTTTAAATAGATACTTTCGGGAGAGGGTACAGCTCAGTGGAAGAGCGCCTGCTTAGCATGCACGGCCCCAGTACCTCCATTCAAACAAACAAACAAACAAAAGATACGTTAATTCAACGGATATTTACTAATCAACTATACTTCAACTTTTAAAATTTAAAAAGTTTTAAAAATAAAATTATTTCCAATTTAAAATAATAATAAAGGGGTATTTATCTTTTCCCAGCGTTTCTGTCAGTGGAGCATGACAAGAGGCGTCCACTTGAGGGCGCAGTCGGCCAGAGGGAGCGCCTGCCTCTGTGCGTTTGCGCGCTTACACGCGCGTTTTCACAGCGGGGTTGTGTTTCAGGAAGAGCGTCAAAGAGGAAACATGCCGATAGGAAGTAGTGACGAGAGACGCAGGCGGCACCCGGGGAGACTCGGATAAAGCCCCCCGTCCCCCCCAGCCCCGACGGGCCTTCCCGTCCGCGGAGAGATGCTGGCGGCGCCACGAGTGTGGGAAGGCCTGCGGCCGCCGGGCCGCTCTGCTCAGCATCCGGTCGGCGGGGGCAGACCGCGAGTGCGGGAGGCCCTCGGCGAGGCGCCCACC